CCGGGGGCCTGGCAGTCACCCTGTACACGTGTTCCTGTCCGATCTGGCAAAATTCAAGGAGTTTTCAAGGAGATTTTTCCTTGAATGCAAATTCAAGCAGTTTTCAAGGACTCCTTGAATTCAAGGAGGCCGCGGGAACCCTGCTAGTAACTAGTGCTAGACATTAGCAATATAAAGCAGTGCGCTTCAGCATTTAAAATCAATAAATTTTACAAGCGATTAAACTTCTGATAAATAATGATAGTGGGCCTCATCTGCTTAAAAAAAAGTAACCTTGTTTTAGGTACAAACCTGAAGTTGGAAGGAACAGTTTCCAGGAGGTTCTGGTGGTATCTTGATGTCATCGCTGGCCATGTTCTGGACACTGCGAGACAGGGCAGCTGAAACAAAACAATTATACAGTAAAACTCAGGACGACGTGAAAAACAGGATAACATTTCAACAGAGTGAGAAACAAGTTTATAGTAAAACTCAGGAAGGGGTAAGGTAGAATTTCAACAGCGAGTGAGACAAGTTTACAGCGGAAATAAGGAAGGGGTGAAAAACAGTGTAAAATTTCAGAAGGTCAAGTTATTCCATGGTACAATTACTGTCTAACAGAGAAGTGACCAAACACAAAGTGTAATTAGTGTTGTGACCACAGAGATACAATAAAAACAAAAACAATGAGAGATATGTGAGAAAGAACAACAAGCAGGACTCCCAAACAACATTCCACTAGGGAGAACAAAAATGTCAAGTCAAGCACTGAGAGGAGCTGTTGTCCATGACGAGTCATCACATTCGCAATCAGTTCTCAAGCAAAAGAGTAAGACCATTTGCAGAGTAGTACAGTTAAAATTGTCAAAGATGGCTATCCATTGTCAAGAAGTGAAATTGTTGCTAACCCAATCGGACGCAGGGAGCGTCCGGTGGTAATAGTCCTGTTCCCCATCGGACACTGGGAGCGCCCAGTACTAGTGACAACTGTTTAGTTTTATGTAGTGCTAGTTTTTGCTTATTTTTCTGAACTATTCCCAAACCAAGTTTTTTGTAAAGACTAAGCCTTTGTTTCTGCTGTTTAAAAGTTGGATGCAAGCTCTCGGGGTCATAATGAGACAAAGTGCACTAGGTTTAGGTGAATGTTGAAAAAAAAACTCTGGGAAACGGTAGAAAAAACTCAGGGCTTAAACAGTTAAACAGGTAGACTTCTCGGACAGTGTCATTACGATATTGAAAAATGTAAGGAAAGAAGTAGGAAGGGATTGTTTGTACAGGTGATTGTCTTAAATAAGTGCCCATAAGAGCAGGTTTGACTCTTTAGCATGTTAGTGTCTTGTAGAAACATTCTGTATACCACAGACACAAGTCTCATGCATAAAGAAACTATAGGCCTATATTTGTTATTCCAATCTTACCTGTGTCTGTGGTCTGAGCCTCTGGGCTGTTGTCATTGCTCTGAAAAACCCCCACAGAGATAAGATGAGATAAGATAAGATAAACATTTATAGATCTCCCCAAAGTTTAATTTGCTGCCGCATGGTAAATAATACATAGCCACTCAACACACACACTCCCCCCTCTCTCTCTCATACGCGCACACACACACACACACTTACAAACACAGAAGAAAACACATGATTAGTCATTGGAAGCATAAATACAATATATACCATTGGGCACTTTCATGTATCGTCTTTCACAGTTACAGAGAGTTAGTGCAGGTTACAACAAGCCTGCAAGATAATACCCACTTTGCCAGACACAGATAAGGATGATATTATATGTCATACAGAAAGGTAGTAGAAGGAGCAGACTACTTTAGAGCATCCGACAGTAGAGGGACAACTTGCTTACTTTATACTGGGTAACCCCCACACACATTTTCTAAATACTGTAATTTAGAGGACACAGGGAAAAAACACACACTGAAATTCCAAAGGTGTTATTTTACACTAAATCTGCAAAGGAGAAAAGAGTAAAATTAAATGGATGCTCAAAACCAGATTCCATGTACCATAAAAATATAAAAAAACTTGAATTAAAAAAAGGTAACTGACATGGCATAATACTGTTTCCCTCTTGAGTAATCACATAATAAAGAGGATGAACGAGTTGTTACAGGGGAAGATGAAATCATCTTGACCATGGGGAACATTTCCACATTCAGTTATTTATAGATATTCACCTCCTGGGCTTCAGCTTCCTCCTCTTGTTCAGAGTCCCCATCTTCGTCGTCATCAACATCCTCATCAGGGCCATAGGACACAAGGCGCATGGCTGAGGAGATAGAATTGCAAGAAATGGACCATAAATCATTTATTACATCACAGTCAACACAATTTACATAAATTAAGAGACAGAATGTCAAACCTTGTCAACTGTGCAACCAAATCTGAATGGGGTAGAGTATCTAAGCTAGTGCAGGAAGATTCTCAGCAAAATTAAATTCTTATTGCCAGAGTTGAGTTCTTGTTGTGTTTTTTTTAGCACAAGGCAAGGAGCTTAACCAGTACACCATAAGCACACAAATAGAAACATCGTTCATCAGCAGCAAATGCACAATTGGCAAAAGAACTCAACATCTCCTCAACACTATTGATATCAATGACAATATGTGTGTGTGTGTGTGTGTGTGCCTAAAGAAATGTAACTTAAGTTGGATTTCGATCATTTTGAGTTAAGGGTTGTACCTTACAGGAAATTCAATGCTGAACACAGGGGTTTTTGAATTTTTGAGATATCTCAAGCAGTTTTTGAGACGTTTAACATTTTGTGAGGTAGGGTATAAAGATGTAATTTTGATAAAATTAGCTAAGTTTTGGACACATACAAACTTGCAAAAAAATTATAATTCAATTGTTTCTCATGTCATTTATTCATAGAAAATTCATTTCCAATTTGGCATTCCGTTGACGTCAATATCCTGATTAGAATTCAATGGTAAAGCATAGCAGGGAAGAGAAAAAATGCTTCAAAAATAGATTTTATTTTAACACCTCCTAAAAGCAGTTTCCATTACCTCTTTAAAAAATACCCTAGTCTCAAAATTATTCAAAATAAAATATTCAGAAGTCAAATCAATGAAAACCCTTTCAATACTTTGTTTTAAAAAATGGTGGACATATCATTTTTTATGGAAACACATTTTGGTCAAAAAAATGATTTTTTGTCATAATCAGCCTGTAGCTCAAAATGGTCTGTGGCAACTTTTCGTACCTTTCTTTAGGCATACACACATATATTCTAGAAACCTGATCAACATCACAAGTGAAGTCATTATCTCACTGACATCACTATCATTATTTATTACAAAAGAAGCAGGCACTGGTTTACAACTACAGACAACAGAGTACTTCACTGTATCATAAGCGCCCAAGTCTTGTGTCAAGTAATGACAGTAAATGTGACTAATTAAGCAGACACATGTCAAAAATGCAGGTTGTGGAGAAAACAAGGAAAACTTCGATGGCTTGCGTTCAATTGAGTCGCCGTAAGTACTTACAGGTGTTGACTAAAGCCTTTGCCACTGCTTCTTTTCTTCTTCAGTTTGAGTCTGGCCTCCAACCTCATGCCTTACCGAATGTACTTCTACAGTCCAATCTTCTCTGAAGGTCACCTTTACAAACGGCCACTTCCCATTTCATCCTTTATGTATTTTTTACATTATAATGACACTGTGTCAGACGGCTACTTTTCTCCTAGACAATGTGTGGCCCTCTTAGATAGGTTCCGTTGTACTTTTACCCCTCTATACAATGAACACAAAACTCAGCATTTGCAGTAACCCATACAAGGGCTCCAGAGTGTAGGCTCAGAGGATCAGAGCTCAAAGTATACAATTTTGTTAATGCCCTAAACAAGATATTTAATAACTAAACTAACAAAACAAGATAAGAAGTGAAAACTCTCCATAACTGGAAACAAGTGGAACTACTGTGTCTTCCAAGTGTGCCCACTCCCTTCCTTGAGTCCAGTAGGCAACAGACAAAATCACAGAACCAAGAAAGTTCACATAACATTTTTTACTTTCAGAAGTCTCATCACTTGTTTTCAATGACTGATTACACCTGACATTTCCCACTTTACTGCATTTTCAGTATTCTTTATACAAAAATAAAGTTGCGCTAAACATTTCAACTAGAACAACTTACCTTTCCTTGCTGCGTTTGCCGATGGTAGGGAGGATGGAGATTCTGTATTGATGGGCTCAGTTGCAAGACTTGAGGTTTTCGGTTCTGAGGCATGATGGTGATGTGAATGGTGATGGTGATGCTGATGGGGATGATCACTGTCTTCATCATCTGATATGAAGTCAGTCGGTGTTCCTTCGGCTTCCTTGTCACTAAGATCACCAATATTTACCCGAGCAATGTTAATTTGTGTTTGTGACAATGGCTCTTGACTGGAAAGCCCGGCTACATGATCAGTGGTTGTGCTTGCAGCACCCTGAGACAAGTCACTTCTTGTTTCTCTTTCCTCATTGCTGCCAGATGGGTCTCTACTTTCTGTCCTCTTTTCATCTTCTCCCCCAAGTGTGTCTTTACTCTCTGTCACTTTCTCTTCTTCATTTCGAGACAAATTCTTAGACGAATTGTTTTCATCTTCATCAGAATCACCATAATCCATCTGAAGAGATGAAATCACAGAAGAGCTGTCGTTTCTCACCATCTCAGCCATCCTTGCAGCAACTGAAACTGGAAAGAAATATTAAAAACAAAATAAACTACTATCCAGCCATCTCAGGTTACACCATTATATTATATATATATAATTCTTTTTATGACAAAATACAGAAGATGTATGGCCGATGAGCAGATTCTATAGAAAAACTGTACAAAGTTAGGTTTGAAATTTTCTTGAAAATAATTGATTTGCGACAGTTTTAGTGGCTTTATACTTTATGTGTGATCTGTAGCAAACAATACTGCAGTTTGATCCCCTAAGCAGTCCAACAGTGTATCCCTGTGTGTGGGCGTGAAGAAAGTAAAAATTCACACCCCCC